CCTAAACCCTAAACCCCAAAACCCTAAACCCCAAACCCCGAAACCCCTAAACCCTAAACCCTAAATCAGTAACCTGCTTCAGGGCCCGGTGAACCTCTTTCTGGGCGATATACCTCCAAAAGCCTATGAGGGGCATGATATAGGGTGTAGGGTTTAGGGTTTAGGATATACCCCCCCACAGCATGTCGTATTTTCATCTCTACGTGGCCTAGTGGGTCTCGAAGCCATGAAAAATCAGGCCTATGCAGCCACGCTCATTGCAGCCAACGTGCGCCGTCTGTGCCGAAAGACACGGCGACTTTGCTTTTCAGTGGAGGGCATGGGCGACAACCCCTAAACCCGAACCCTAAACCTTAAACCCTTAATCTTGAGCTCAAAACCCCAACCCCCAAGGCCCCAAACCCTAAAGCCTTTATAGAACTTGCGGGAGGCTCTGCATGGGTTTCTGAACCCATGAAACTCTATAGAGCAACTTGAAAAGCCCGAATGATAAAGACGCTTTACCCTGCTAGACACCCCAATCACAAGACTCGCAGACTCTTTCAACGAATTCAAACACTCATTGACCGCTATACATCCGTTTGCAAAGCCGGCTCATAGGATTGAGCTCGATAGCACATCCCTTTACAATCACAAGACTTCCTGAACCCTAACGCCTAAAATCCCAACACCTAAACGCTAAACCCCAAACCCCTAAACCCTAGACCCCAAACCCTAAACCCTAACCCCTAAACCCTAAACTCCTAAACCCCTAAACCCTCAAACCCTCTAAACGCTAGAACCCTACGCTTTTCTGCGCCTTTGCCTCAAAGGGCCGAAGGCTGCGACGCCTTGGCCGCCGGCGCCGCTTCGGCGCGGGCATTGCATCCGGTGAGTCTCTGGGAGGAGCGATATGGGCAGTTCTCAAAGTTAGGGTCCCTTGTAAGAGAATCCTTAAAGGGATCTATAGGGGTCTCTATGGGTTCCTTAAAGGGACCTAGTAAGGGTCTCTATAGAGTTTCTATAAGGGTAGTATATGGGTAGTTCTCTAAACTAGGGCCCCTTTTTAAGGGGTTCCTTAAAGGGATCTATAACGGTCTCTATAGGGTTTCTATAAGGGTAGTATATGGATAGTTCTCTAAACTAGGGTCCCTTCCGGGAATCCTTAAAGGGATCTAGAAGGGTAGTGTCTGGGTAGTTCTCTAAATTAGGGCCCCTTTTTAGGATCCTTTTTATAAGGGTGCCATACTATATTGGGGACGTAAACAGGGACCCCCAATTTAGAGAATTACCCCTTTGGGGAGGATTTGGGGATCTGGGGGTTTAGGGTTTAGGGTTTAGGGTTCAGGGTTGAGGGTTTAGGGTCTAGGTTGAGGGGTTTCGGGCTTTAGGGGGTGTTTTGGCTTTCGGTCTAAGGGCTTTAGGGGTTTGGGTGGGCCTCCCTCCCATAAGGAGCATTAGACGGCTACTAGAAGACTATAAGGTTCAATATCGGGGTCCCGGGTTGGAGGTTTGGGGATTTCGGGAGAGTAGGAGAGGTTCGAGATCTCGGATTGGGATTGAGGTCCTTGGGCTGTAGGGTATTTTTTTGAGTTTAGGGTTTAGGGTTGAGGAGTTTGGGCTTTAGGGTTTTTTTAGAGATTTTAGGGCGGCTTCTCCATGCTCCAGGCCCTGGTAGGGTTTAGAGACCTGTGCCTGGGAGGAGAGATGTGGGAGAGAGGGGTTTAGGTTTTAGGGAGAGCACCTCGTTCTTGAAGTCTTTTAGGGTTTAGGGTTTAGGTTTGGGGTTCTCGGATGTTCAGGTTTCAGGGTTACACTTGGCCTTTCGGCTCTAGGATTGCACTTCAGGGTTTGGGGTTTAGGGCCTATGGGAACCTTGCAGGACTCTCACCACGGACGTCGCCAAGCTGCAGACCGATTTCCGCGGCTCTTGCAGTTTTTGCTTTGTACTAGGAGGTTGCGGGGTCGTTACAAGGCGGGGGTTCTACGTAGGGCAGCTCTTGTTACAACCCATGTTAGACCTATAACCCCGTTAGAACTACCGGTGAACCAGGTTCATATTCAAGCGGCTTGGTCTGAGACGTGTGTAAACCCTAAGCGCTAAGAACCCTTAAACACACGGAGAAAAAACAGCATGTATCTGGACAGACATACTTTCGAAGCCGGGCTGAAATACAAGTTGGCAAGCAATAACACCACACCTCTTCTCTGCAACTTCTGAGCTCCAGTTAATTTAAAAAAGATGTTGTAAAGAAAGGCTCTTAAGCGCTAGCAGCATGACCTGGCGAGGCCCCCCCCCTTACATTGCCCGAAACCCAGGACCATGGCGTAAGTCCCAAACTTGAGCCCTCTATGCGTGGTTCTCCAATTAGCGCCTAATTAGGGTCTCTTGTGGGGCTCCCAAACTCTGTCGTGCCGCATTAAGCCCTAAACCCTAAAACCCTAAAGCCCGAAACCCTAAGCCCTAAACCCTAAACCCTAAACCCTAAAACCTACACCACAAACCTCCCAGACACAGAGGAGGATCCCTGAAAAGAAACCTTTTGGGAACCCCGAGCCCGCACCTCGGTGAGGCTTGGTCAACTGGCCAGTTCTGGCCCCCACTATTGCGGTGATCTGAGCAAGAGATGAGCAGATGCCACAGGAATGAAGTGCTGGCTTTTGGGGGGGGATTTAGGGTTTAGGGCTTAGGGGTTAAGGTTTAGGGTTTAGGGTTTAGGGTTTGGGGTTTAGGGTCTATGAGGGGTTTGAGCGTGAGCCTCTGGGATCGGACAGGACAGATCCAGGCTGAGGTTTTGGGCCTACCGGGTGACCCGAAAGCGAGGGTTTTTAACAAACCAAGGGGCGCTGTATCCAGGGATCAGGATTCTACCATTGAGGGTTCATCATCCATTTTTCCTAAACCCGGAACCCTAAACCCTAAACCCTAAATCTTAAACCCTAAACCCTAAACCCTAAATCTTTGCGAAGTCGAAGAGCCAGCTCCCAGAGGAGGCCTGCCCCTACCGACGCCCCAAAATTCCCAAATCCTGGGCCCCAAACCCAGACCCAAGAAGCAGCCACGACTGCAAGACACCCCGAACCCGGAACCCTACCTTAAGCCCTTCTTAGGCCCCCCTTAAAGCTCGCCTTGAAGGTCCCCTTTAAGCCCCCCCTTACATCCCAGCACTTCGAGCCCAGGTACCGGGAAAGCACTTTATTTTATCAGCTGCTTTCGCTGGGTTGTGCAGGGAGCTGACTTAAGATGCCTGGTTTTAGGTACCAGTAGCTCGTTATCCAGGGTTTGTCAGTGTTGGGTAATCCCTGGCCCCAAACTCGAAAATCTAAAGCCGACTCCCTTAAACCCCAAACCCGTATCCCTAAACCCTAAAGCCGAACCCTAAACCCCAAGCCCGTACAACAAGTTAAGAGGGCCCCCGCGCTCTAATCTCAGGACCTAGATCCTAAGCTGGGCACATGAAGTAGGCTTTAGGGTTAATAGGGTTTAGGGTTAGGGTGTTAGGGTCTGGGGTTTAGGGTTTATAGTAGGAGTTGGGTGGGTGAGTGTGTATTTTGGGGTATTTTACTGTAGGGGTACTTGTATGAAAGTCACTTCTTCACATGCGTTGATGTCAGAGTATTCGGTTCGCAAGATGTGGCCATGTCAAGATCGGCCCATTTCCATACCTAGAGTCCTAGAGAAAGTTACAGAGTTGTTTTGTTTTGGAGCTGGAGAGTCCGAGGGAAACCGACGCGAGCTTTACCCATGGTTATGTCTGCACGGCCGTCAGAATAAAGCATGGGGCTTCGAGTGTCAGCCTGCTCCAAGCCTGAACTCCAGGCCAAAAGACCTCACCACTCAGAACACCCAACCCCTAAATACAACGCTGGATCCGTCTCTCAATCTTGAATCAAGAGCCAGGGTAGAGCTGGGGTTCAAACGGCCACAAAGGCAGCTTCCCGTAGCAACCCAGCGCCATCGGAGTCCGAGGTTCGCCGTCGTAGATGGGGAGCCTAGGACTTCGGGGCTTCAGGTGTAGGGTAAGGGATCCTACGCCCGAAACACCCCCAACATGAAGACAACCTTTGAAGAGCGAAGCGGCGTGAAAAGAGCTTGTGCAAGGGCTTTGTGAGTTTGGGGTTTTGGGGCTCTCGGGCTTTCGGGGTTCTTTTGACATCACACGGCTTCAGCCCCATCTTGCACTATAAAGGTATCGCACGAGCTTAGGGTGGCATCGGGCTGACCATGTGATGACACCATCATGAACATCCGACATTCCGGTCTCGAGCATGCTCTGCCGAAGCTCAGTTTGAGCTCCACAGCGTATCCAAAGCAACATCTGAGCCATCCAAAGCCTAAGACCATCCCGGCGTCCCAATCCCGCCCTGCAGGCAAAGTCGCAAGAGGCAATGAAGTCTTCTGCGTTGCTCCGCCCATAGCGAAAACCCCATGGCCCCATACTCAGAAGCCCGAGGACCAGGTACAAGTTGCTACAGACCCTGTTCCCAACACCTTTGGCCGTAGCGGTGTGTGCCATGACCTGCTGGAGCCGCCATGCCGGAGCGTGCGAAGCAGCTCGGCATCCTCAAAATTCACGTGCCTTAGAGCCTTAGAGTCAGGTTGCTTTTGCAATCCCCAGAGAGCCCAATACCTTAGTTAAAGAATACACCGTAAACTCCCAAGTGTTGAAGGTGGTCAGTTTGGTGGTCATGCATGCCGTGCAAGCACTCCACAATGACCTTGTATTGTTGTACCAGACTTTGTAAGTTTACAGCAGTTTACAACTCGACAAGCTTCTGACACAAAGGAGTCATTCGAGCCTCCCTCAAGACGGATCCCACCATGCACGCTGTACAACTACTGCAGCATCGCCCTCCCATCGAAGCGAATCCTGATCTCATTCTCTGGAACGGGATCCATTGCAAGAGTTGCCACAGTTTGAGTATAGGATTTGTGCCTGATGGAGCATTTTGTGCATCACATCACTGCAACACTATGTGAATTGATCCCATGACCAGCACTGCAAAGCCAGCTTGGACGAATGCCTGCATCATTGTGTTTGCGTGTGTTTGCTAGCGTCAGGTGCGTCTGGGCTGTGATCAGCAACGATCACGAGGATATTCCGCGGGCTTTCAGGGGGGCGCAGAGGCTTCATGGACACCTGTCCGCTGGCCCTCAAGGCGCATGTCGGTTCTTCTTCTTCTTCAAGATGTTTTGCACGGTCTTTGTAGGATGTGGGTAGGTGTTTGGTTGAGTATCAAGTAGTGCTACACCGGAGGCTTTCCACTTTACCGTACTTGGCATCCCGGCAGCTTGTCGTTATGCCTTCATCTTGTTGTAAATCCTGCAGACGGCCGTCTGGACTTGTTCGGGACTTAGTTTCAGGCGCGGTGCATGGGGTGTAGAGAAACCTCATGGCTTGTGAACGTGTTTTGTGGCGCCCTAATCAGATAGCATGTGTGCTGGCAGGCCTTCTGGTCGAGTCTGCTGTTGCTATCTTTAACAAGAGCACCGACGAGATCTGCCAAGAACTGTCGCAAGCTGCGACATGCTTGGATTCGCACGGCTTATCAAAGATCTTTTTCGTCTACTATGCTGGGCATGTGGTGTCCGATTATCCTGATTTCTACTACATTGAGCCAATACCTGGACAATCGAACATAGATCTGACATACGCCGCTATGAAGTCAGTGTCAAACCGCAATCTCGAACGAGTCAATACGACAGTGTTCCTTGATGGATGCGCGAGACAGGTTGCGCCGCAGGAAGAGGAAGAGACTGTTAAGTCACATTGGACCAACACGTTCACGACACTATGTCCTGCCTCTTTTGGGCATGGAGTTCGGGACGGTGCGATTTTGGTGCGATGCTTGCAGCACTGCTGTGAGCTCAAGTTCGCCACTGTCGATGACTTTCTCAATGGCGTTCTAGAGCTTACCCGGCAGCTGTCTTTCGGGGGCCTCTTTGCTCGTCACATCCATCCGACGGAGTTGAACCCGTTGCTTGAGTTGCCATTCCCCAAGGAGCACACTTCCGGGGGCACGTGCTTCCTTCGCTTCGCTTTGCACCTATGGACAGACGAGTGGCTCGAGTCCGATGACCACCAAGAGGTAGATTTGAGCCCGCTGATTCACACGCTTCGTGAGGTTGTATGCCTTCTGGTGACTTGCGATATGTGGTCTGGAGCGGATGCCTGGGGAGAGTTGCAAGTTTTGTCATGCTGTCAATCACTGGATGACGTGCTTGCGGAACTGCAGAATCATGATAGAAAGATTCAGTGGAAGCTTCAATGTGACTCGGTTCCAGAATACATCCGCAAGTATCTCGTGGAAGCAGTCGTGGAAGCAGTTCGGGCTTGGCACAATCAGAATGGGATTCTGGACGAACCCCCGGACGTGGAGGATGTCGTCGAGCGTCTCGGCTCACTCTGTTCCCGCATTACGAGATGGTATGAGTTGTTGTATGAAGGTACACAAGATGCGACGGGGAGGAGATATAGATTTCTGAAGGTGGAGGGCGCGGTGCCGGAGCAGTTTACCGGGGCAGAAATGCAGGAAACAGCCACCGAAGTACAGGAGGTATGCCAATATTTCGGAATCCGAGCTCAGGTTTGCTTGGTGCCTGGAAGCCTCTGGGCCATTTTCTGTTCGGAAGAGCCTCCAAATCCTGACCAGCGGAAAGGCTTCTGCGAGAAGTTTGGGCGATGGGTCGAGGAGCGGCGGAAGAGCGGAGTGCGCGGTTGGTCGCGTGCGGAGCCTCCCTGTTGGAAGCCAAGCCATGCCGTCCCCAGTCGCATTCGCAACGTAGTTCAGAAAGTTCAGAACTTCGTTGACACCGACTCGGGCAGTGCTCCCTGCTGCATGTGGCTCCGGGCCTGCACGCTTCGTCGACTCGTGGCCAGGAGCTGCTCGCAGAGGAACCCTGAAGAGCGATACGAAGCATGGAGGGTCGTGATTTTCGAGGGGCTCTCAGAGATTCGAGGCTCTGCATGGCCCCTTGCCTGCCCTGGTGATGTCAAGAGTACCTTAGGGCACGTAGACTCGACGTAAACGCTTGACCTTGAAGGGCTTATCGCATTTGTGGGCCCCATAAACCCCGACAGAACTCCAAGGCTTCAGGGTGCAGGTGACTTGCGGTGCGTGGTGCTGCGGAATCTCTGGGATGAGAGCTTTGGGGAGCAACTGGCAGACCTCGTTGGCGTGGCAGACCGCAGGCCTGTGTTTTGTTTTTAACAGTTTCGGGTTAATTAGTTCTAGGTATCGTTCTCCCAAGGCCCCCAAGGCCAAGAACCGTGCTGCGGCTTTTGGGGTGCTCCGTTGATCTTAATTTGGCAGTGGGTTGTCTTGGGGCTGATCTTTGGGAACAGAATGAACGGCCTTCCCACAGCATGGTCTTGGGAACCGACCTTGAGCTGTGTAACTTGACCAGCTATCGATACCGCTGTCTGGCCACACATCCAAAGCAACAGTGAGCCTATGAACCGAAGTCCCCAGCACCAGGGGCCTTCAGATGAGACCAGAGATTCCTGCATTGCTCTTCCTGGCGCAGGAAGCAGGCGTTGAGTTGCATCTTTGCCTGCGAATTCTTGAGAAAGCGATTTTCGCGCTTTTTGTGCTTAGGGCAGGCAGGGAATCGGCATCGTGGTCGTTCCCAAGGGAAACTCTAAGCGAGCACAGTGGTGATATCATCTAGTGGTAGCCACCAGGGGCGCTGGACTGGAGTTCTGCATTGCACTGAGGCAGCAAGAAGACCTCGTCCAGGCAAGCAAGCATGCTTGCGGGATGGGCATCGAGCGGAAGTTTTTCTCCCTATGAAGATTGAGACCTGCTAGGATGTAGTTTCCCCAGCGACTTTGGCCGTTCCCTTGGTAAAGAACTCAATCTGATGGAGGTGCAGGAGGAACAGATCACGCTTCGCCAGCATTGTCGAAACACTGAACACATCATCTCGCAAGGGAAACGTCCCAGCACCCGACAGGCCCTCAACTACATACGCTTCAGCCCTTTGCGCCCTCAACCTTGAGTCATGAGTCGGGTCTGTGTTGGTTGGACTGATCTGCCTGTTCATGTTGAGGCAGTATAAAGGCAATTATTGCTCGGACAGGGAGAAACCGTCGGCCGTGTCGCAAAAGCACGCTTGGCTTTCTCTGATCGACACCCAGCACGCGATGTACGACATAGAAACGGCTGGGGTTGAAAGAAAGTCGATGTCCTCTAGGATATGTTGGCAATGGGTAGACTCGGGTAGACAGCGACAGGCTCTTGGAACTTCATTGCAAACCTTGTGTCCCAATGATCAGGATCATACGCACTGGAGCCTGCCACAGAACCCTTGACAAAGACCAAGCCTTGCACTGCCATCGAGACGTGACGAAGTTAGTATAAAGTAAAGGAATCAGCAGGTCCTGACGGTCCTGACTCTCGGTCTCCATTTTCGTGAGGTGATGGCATCTGGAGGGCAAGAGGTGTTGCGGTCCTACGTGAAGCAGTTCATTCGCGAGGCCTGCACGTGAGGGCTTCTGGCTAAAGTTTCGGGTTGGGCCTTTAGGCATTTCGGGGATTCAGGGTTTCGGGTTTAGGGTTCGTAGACCGCCACACAAGAAAAGGCCCCCCAGCTTGTAGAAATCCCATTTTTTTGTGATCTAGCAGCTGGATCCAGGCACCATTTCTTTTGCCAGATGCATTTTCCACTCTTGCGCCATATGTCTCCCGTGCACGCAGACCGAGTGTGCCTGCAGGTGCTGTCCCAGCGACAGGATGCGAAGCTGAAGCTTCTTGCCTCCAAGGAAAGGGGCTTAGGGAAGTCGTGCAGGCATGGCATGCCTCCTCAGGTTCAGGTTGGGGTTCGACTTCGATAGGATTCAAACTTCGGATGTAGATTTGTAAAGTGGACTTGTGTGCGCGCATTGCCAAGGACAGGGAAACGAGGCATCGATGTGGACTCAACCATACGCGCTGGGCTCCTTTCAGAAAAGATGATCTGCAGTCACATCTCGACTACGGAATCTACGCAATTTCTCATTGGGGATCCTGCGGTTCCGAACAAGGCGGAGGACCTTCCTGCGGTACCCGCAAGCAGCACAAGCCTCCGGACAGCGTGTGATGAATCGGTTTCCCGCTCAAGGCAGGAATCGCCCTATCCACGTCAAGACAGTATATCCAGGCGAAGACACACCATTGGTGCCAACAGCATTGCTCTCGTGATCAGCTGTTCAGACTACTCCGGATGCTGCAATCTTCGCGCCATGCCGTTGGCCAAGCTTGATGCAGATGCAGTTTACTCAGTGCTTTGGCAGTCGGGTGTTGACATTGTTAAACGGAGCGAAAACATAAGCCGCTCGCAAGTGGTCGCTGAGTTCGTGGATCTCTTGCAGGAGGTCATGGGCACTGATGCTTCGGCCATTTACGTGTTCTATGCAGGCCATCATGTTGCCATCGACCAGACCGCTTGTTACTGTGGCAGTTCAGCTTGTGGTGGGTCCGATGTGACAGCGCCACTCACCAATTTTCCGCTTCAAGACTTGGTTCAAGTGTTGCAGAAAGTGCATACTTGGGAACGCCCTATCACAAATGCAAGAGCTATTATTATGCTAGATTGCTGCCGCTGCTGGAGCGATTGGTTGACACCTTGGCCAGACTGCTGTAATCAACGTGCCGGGCAGGCGTCTATCGTGCTCCTAGCTGCAGGAGACCCGGCAATAGAAGGCGAGGGAGGTGGCAACTTCACGCAGGCTTTATGCAGACACTGGAAGGAATCACTGTTTTTGCCCGAATCACCGTTTTTGCCCGAGTTGTCCAGTAGGATTTGGTCTTCCGTCTGTTCCGACACCCGCTACCGACAGCGGCCATTCGGCCTTTGGCGTGCCGATTTTTCTGGCTCTTCTGTGCTGCATGGTGTGCTGCCTGGTAGGCGACTGTGCCGAGCAGATCTGCCGCTCAGCTGCATCTGTCTAATGTGCATGCAAGGTGACAGTGCTTGTATGTATCGGGCACTACGAGCCAGTCACAGGTGCCAGGCTTTGAGACATTGCCGTGACACCGGCATAACGAGCACGACTTACGAAACTGGGACTTTCTTCTTGACATGCGCCAGTTGCTGTGTAAGAATCGTTCTTTGAAGGCCAGCACTTCGTCCGCAAGCAGGTGGCCGGCGACATGCCCTTGTTCTCAGCTGTGTGCGCTTCCTCGAGCGTGGCAAGGTTCAGTTTGACATGGAATCCCAGCGTAGCGGTGAGTCAATGGCGAAGTTGCTGAAAGAGCTGGGGTACCATGTTCTGCACTTCCAAGACCCAGACCAGGAGACTGTGCAGGCTGGCTTGAAATTTATAGCAGCCGAATCAGACGCCGAGTCAACCACGTTCATCTTCTATGCAGGACCTGTGTTTCAGGATGAAGTCGGACAGCTCATGAGGCTTTTCATCGATCCTGCCCGAGGACAGCAGGTGTTTCATTTGGGAAAGTGGATCCTCGACTTGCAACGTAACCTTGTGCCCAGAACATCTGGCCTCAAACCGGCATCTGGTACAAACATGGTGTTTGCAATGGATGGATGCTCAAAAACACCACCGCCAGAGTCAACAGGTGCGGAGGCACCAATTCCGACTCCTCCCTCAAAGAAACTTCCTTGGTATATGTACAAGGGGTATAAGGGGGGTCTGTGCTGCATTTTGTCTTGTGCGGTTTCACAACATGACCGCAGAGATTTCTCGGAGAGCTTGCTGGGCCACCTCCGAATCGCTAAGTCTGCAGCCGACCTCTGTGATGGAATCTCGGCGGACTGCAGAAATTCTGGATCTCGCCCCTGGATCATGTCCAGTGGCGACCTCTCCGCTATCTCGCTGGGTAACCCATCACATGACCCCGTGTCGTCTCTGCCGTGTGCGAGGAAGTATCCAAGACGTTATGGCTGTCACACTCGTCGTCTTAATATTCTGACGGTCATAGCCGCTTGTTTGCCACTGCTTGGCCTTGGCTGCTTGCGCGTTTAAAGTTTCTTGTATGGCGGGCTCTGTTTCTGACGCATGAAGGCGACCTTTGAAGAGCGAAGTGGCCTGAAAAGAGCGGGTTTGAGGTTTAGTTAGGGCAGGGGGGGGGGGGGTTGGTAGGGTTTAGCCAAACTAAGCATGAGCTTTAGGGTGGTTTGTATGGGCATCAGGAATCAGAAGCTTCTGACTTGCAGCGCTGCGGCTGCCGCATCTTGCATGTCAAGACCTTAAGGTGATGCCAGATCTTTAAGTGTGAGGGCATCAGGCTGTCTATGGGGTGCAACCCACTGATCAAGAGATGACCTTGAAAACTGAACCCAACCTGACCCCAGAATCGATTTCATGTGCGCTGCCATCTTCTCTCCATTCGCTCGGCAGTGGTCCTGCACACTCGGAAGGCCCATCGAGCTGTTTGGAGTTTGTCGAAACTCTGGCGACTGTAAGCCGAGTANNAACCCTTTCAACCCTAAACCCTAAGCCAATTTGCAAATCAACTAAAGCCTCTTGCAGAGCCGTCTAATCTTCGGCTTTGAGTTAGGGTGCAGTCGCTAAACACAGTTGTGTCTAACGACAGGCTACATCTGAGCATGTGCTGGGCTTGAGGTGAAAAACATTAGGGCACAGGAGGTAGGTTTTAGGGCTGCAGGGCTTTGTTTCAGAGTGTCCGGGGGGGGGGGTGGGGGGATCGGGGATGAAGGTTCAATAGCCCACTGTGTTTTCCTTATATGGCTATGACTATGGTACTGTAACAATACTCCGCAAAGCTTTAGGTCTTAATCCTTACGGCCCATATGTTATTCGAGCACCTTCACTGTTTAAGGCTCCCGTTTGAAGGGGTCACCCTAAGCTTCTGACACGACGATTCAGGTGTGTGTGTGTGTGCATATATATATATACATACACATGCACTTTGGTTTGGGTTTAGGGTTTTTGAGTTTAGGGTTTAAAGTTTTGGGTTTAGGGTGTCATTGTAAACACGAAATGTTTTCGTATTTTTTGCTTCCTTGGACGATTACATTGCAAGCGTCCGCCCCAAGACCAAAACGCCACTTTCTGCAACTGCGCATCATCCAATATGGCTGGTAAGCCGGACCCCCGCTCCTGAAGCCTAAGTCCACAAACCTCCAAACTCAGCTCCAGTCCACTAGAACCCAAACCGTAAGCCCTTGTGCTGCGTCCGCATGCAGGTGCATTAATCTGATTTCAACAGGCTCAAGGGACCATAAAGGGATATTGATGTTAGCTATTCACACTTCTATACCAGTCTCTCCAAACCTTAAAACCCAAAGCCCTACACCCTAAAAGCTGAGTCTATCACCACAGCCATCCGTGTGCATGCGAGGCGCAAGCGCGACATGGCCCTGCGCTGCAGCCGCTGTGCACACCTCAGTTGACCAGGATTCGGACATGGATTCTCGAGTCCAAAACCTATAGGGCTTTAGGGTTTAGGGTTCTGAAATTCAAGGATTCAGGGCAATAGAAGGTTTAGGGTTTAGGGGGTAAGTAAGTAGTATGTAAGTATATACTACTATTCTGATTGTTGAGGCCTTATATCTCCCAATCCTTCCTTCACCAAACCAAGCGCGTCCGACCTGACATACCCCAATCCCTCCCCACAAACCCTAAACCCTAAACCCTAACCCTAAACCCTTAAACCCCAAACCCTAAACCCTACAAACTCCTGGCTTTGTTTTACTCTGCCAGTGCTGGGATCTGGGAGACGGTGCGAGGTCTCAGCAAAACGTCGAGGGAGCAGTTTGGGTTTAGAGTTTAGGGTTTGGGGTTTGGGGTTCATTCTGGTCGCCTCTAACCCCCTCAGCTTTGAGTTGAGGATGTCAAGCTAACATTTAGGATGTAGGGCTCTGCCTTAAGGATGTAGGGAAACCGACGGTTTGTGCTGAATGTCTCCTTTTGTTGGAAGTCAACGCAGGGGAGAATTTAGACGCTAAGCCCAGCCCTAAACCGTAAACCCCCGCAGGTTTAGTTTTTCGGGTCCCGGCACCGTAAGTCTCGCCAAACTTCCCTCCCCGAGGCTTCGATCGCCTTTTTGCCGTCTGTCGCGGCCTCATGCTGAAATGCACGAAATTCCGATTCCCGGGTTCTGGATTGGGCGCGGGATATTGGCGTATATTATGAGATTTTTATAGGAAGTACAGGTATGAAGCATCATTGTTATTGATTGCTCAGACGGCTATAGTAGAGTTTTGTTTCGGCTTCGAGTTGTTGTGCATGTTGCAGATCTAAGCTTCAGCCTTAGTAGTGCCATGCAGAGGCCTGCGATTTTTTGCCGAACTATTCCTCAGGGCTCCTCACTATAATTGCACTACCATCTATACCCAGGGCCTTTTTCTGTGTATTTTGGCCCCTATGTTAAGGCCCACGGCTCTCCTGAACCCAAAGACCCCAAGATTCCGAAAGTCAGCAGCATCTCCCCTACTCCCCTTATTTCAAAAAAGAGCCCTTAGAGAGCCCTAAAAAGGAACCCTCGCTTCCATAGGGTGTAGAAAAGCAGCAACTCACCATACCAACTCCTGCCCATGACTGCATGTATGTATGTGTGTATGTATGTATGCATGTACATATATATATATGTGTATGTATATGTGTATAACAGTAATTATCTGTGTGTATGTATATATGTATATAGAACGCTGTGAACTATTCCGTGAAAATCCGAATAACGCCCAGTACAAGCCCTGCACAACCGTAGCCAAAAACCTTTAACCCTCAAGCCAATGCTCTAAGCCGTAAGCCATTTCCCCTAAGCCCTATATATCTTTACCCTCAACCCTAGATTCGTGGATCCTATACCCTAAACCCTATACATCCCTATACCCTCCATAGAAGCCCCAAACCGAAGCCCTAAGCCCTAAACCCTAAACCCTAAGCCCTAAACCCTATCCCCTAAACCTAAGCCCTAAACCCTATCCCCTAAACCCTAAACCCTATCCCCTCAACCCTAAACCCTATCCCCTATCCGCACGGAGGCCCTCCCGTGAGCCGGGGAGCCGAACGCCAGCAGGCCTCCTGAAGCTTGGGGTTTATAGAGAGCAGGGTTTATAGGGTTTAGGGTTTAGGGGTTTAGGGTTTAGGGTTTAGGGGTTTGGGGTTTAGGGGTTTAGGGTTTAGGGTTTAGGGGGTTTAGGGTTTAGGTGCTTCTAGCTTTTGATCCTTGTTTTTTGTTAGCTGTTGGATACTGCCCCACACTCAGTAACAGTTGAGTAATATTCATAATATGGCCCTTCGTAGTAGCCCCATTATAGACTGTTACTGTATGGGGGCAGTACCCAAGCTAGATGTCTTAATGTGTTTGTCTTTAAAACTTTTTCGTATGGGGTTCTGAGGGTTCTATGAGATTTCTCCGTGTCTTTTTTCAAGGGTCCCAAGAGGTGGGGTGAAGGTAGGATGAATTGCAAGCATCCAGTGTATAAGGAGGCGTAAGGCAAGTTCAGGTGCAGGGTGTGCGCCTCTGATCTACTAGACGGTCTACGAAGTATGCGAATCCTGTGCATCCGTGGAATTCGGGCCGTGGACTTCTTGATTTGGAGTGTAGGTATGCTTAATGTGTTGATGTGTCCCTGGACGACAGGAGGCGGTTGACCCCAAACCCTAAACCCCAAACCCCAATCCGTTGAACAAAACCAAACCTGCTGAGCCCGAAGCCCAAACTCAATCAAGTACCTGTAGGACAGAGCACGGAACTGGATGTGTGGGGCTTATTGTTTAAAGTTTAGGGCCTTGAGTCTCTATGTTTAGGGTTCAGGGTTTAAAGTTTAGGGTTTCTATGCACAGAAAAAATCGGAAACCTTGGCCCTTCAACTTGAGAGCCCTGGCCGCGATGGCACTGCGCCTCAAGTTCCCCCTCCTGTGCCTCAAAGCTCAGACAAGCGTTTTGACCCCCCTTGGCCCGGGCGTTTCTGATATGCTTTTCTGCTTAACCGTGGGAATTCCCCGAACGCAGGTCGAGGAGCAACGCGTCTATCGTTTGACATAGTCGCGTTGTAGGACTCCCTACAGAACCGTATTCTGTTACCGGGGCTTCAGGGGCTTGTGAGGCATGACATCGTAGGGCACAGAGCATCAAATGCGTCCGAGATTGCACATCCTGGCCGTGCTGGGCATTTTGGGCTCAAGGCTGTGTGCTGGACGCAGATCAGAATTTTGATTGGCAGTGCCTCTTCGAAGGAGAGACACCGTGCCCCTGCTCCCAAAAGCCCCCGAGCCTGCCCCAAGCAGAGCCTTGCCAGGCTTTCGAGGGTAGTTGTTTCGGCAAATTCGGGCCTTTCGCTTACTATGATGGGTATTTGGGTGTTTGGATTTAGGAGGTCACCATTTGCTGCAGTCTGGAAGGCTGCATACCCAGGCATCATGCCAAAGTCAAGCCCTAAACCGTAAGCCCTAAACCTAAAGTCCTAAAACCCAAAATTCAACAAGCACGACGCCCTGAACGGAAGCTGTTCACGCGAAGTGGTGAGAGGGACTCCTAAACCCTAAATCCGAAACCCTTATAAACCCAGAACCCAAAACCCAAAACCCTAAACCCTTATAAACCCTAAACCCCTGAACCCTAAACCCCTAAACCCTAAACCTACAAAAAACCCTAAGACCTTAAGCCGTGCGCCCCAACGTCGCGGGAGGATGCAGCTTGTGCCATTCCTTCTCCTCGGCCTCGCCGGGGCTACAGAGCTCACCAAGGAGCGAATCCGGTGGTTTTTTGGGGTTAAACGGTTAACGGGTTTTGGGTTTAGGGGTTTAGGGGTTTAGGGGTTAAGGTTTAGGGGTTCTTGGTTGAGGATGTACCTGGACCCAAAAGTATGTAGAGTAATAGCCTTTCTTTTAGAGGTTTTGGGCCATTATCTTACCTACTTTGGGAGGTTGAGGTAGGGGTTGAGGGTTGAGGGCCTGCACAGGGACCCCTAAATTTTAGGGGTCCCTGTACGGATTTGGGGATGTAGGGCTGCGGGGTTAGTGGATGTTGGGGTGTGGGTGGCGATTCATGGCTG